TCTTATTTACTTGTTACTAATTGAGTAAAAGAAAGTTAGAATGCTATTTATCCTAATACTGATTAATCATTCATTTAAATGTTATGGCAGTGATGGGTTTCAGATACATTTTTAGATTTTAATAGTTTTGAACAAGATTTTGGATATAAGAAAAAGTGTCCAAAACTTGTCCAAAACCTGTTCAAAACTAAAATTGTCCAAAATTGTCTACAATTGATGGAATAGATGATGATGGTAATAGAAATGAATTGGAGGATGATGATAGTGAAAATGAAAATGTATATTATGAAAGTAATGAAAATTGTAATATAATTCAAATTGGAATATTTAGTGAAATTATTAATGTTTTCAATAATAAATAATAAAATTTTCTCGTTTCGGTATAAATACCCGGGTCCTAAAATAAGCAATAAATTAAAGTGGGGTATTCAAAAAGGGGGATATCTTATGCAGTGCTAGGAATGAAATTTAAACCAAACCTTCTGCGCCTTAAATTCTTGCATCAATAGATTTTTTTTTAGTTACTTTCTAAAATGTCTTTACCTTACAAAAAACTTCAAGGATATGAATTTTATCAGAACGTTCTTAATGGAGCAAAATTTTTTTTAGCGCCTATGGTTGATCAGTCAGAATATGCATGGCGTATTTTGTCACGTCGTTACGGTGCTCAAGTTTGCTATACTCCAATGCTTCACGCAAAAATGTTTTGCGATGAAAGTAATAAACAATATCGGTCTGATGTATGGTCTACTGGAATAGACGATCGTCCATTAATAGTTCAGGTAATTTGTAGATAATAATTTTCTAAATTATGTAATTATGTAAGCGTGAATTACTCAAAATTATTATTTTTATTTTTCAAGTTTTGTGCTAATGATGCAGAGGTATTACTCAAAGCTTCCCTAAAAATACAAAATCAATGTGATGCGATCGATCTAAATTTAGGCTGTCCACAACATATCGCCAAGCGTGGACATTATGGATCTTTTTTACAAGATGAATGGGACTTGATTTATAAATTAAGTGAGTTCTTTCTATTGATTTTTATTTTTTTATTTTTTTTATGAGCATGCTGATCATAAATATTTGATATATATATATATGTATTGTAGTAAATACACTTCATGAAAATCTTTCGATTCCTGTAACAGCTAAAATACGCGTTTTTCCCGAGGTAGAAAAAACAATAAGATATGCAAAAATGATTGAAAGCGCAGGAGCACAATTATTGACAGTGCACGGTCGAGTGCGTCAACAAAAAGGGCACAAAACTGGTTTAGCTGACTGGGAACAAATTCGTCAAGTTAAGTATGTACAGATAATATATATGGTTTGTATTCATTTTCATTTTCATTTTCATATGACAGTAAATAATATGAATTGATCTTTAACTAACGATGAGTTTATATTCTTTATATTATTTCATCGTGCATATCAGGGAAGTTCTCAAAATTCCTGTAATAGCTAACGGAAATATTCTTTACTTTGAAGATATTCAACGATGCTTAGATGCGACTGGCGCTGATGGAGTTATGTCTGCCGAGGGTAATTTATACAATCCCGCTATATTTTCTGGAATTAACCCCCCAGTATGGCAAATGGCAAAAGAATATTTGGAAATTTGTCGGACTGTTCCCACTAAGATTTCATATATTCGGGGACATCTTTTTAAGATTTATAGACCAGCTCTCCCATTTCATGTAGACTTGAGAGAACAATTGGCCAAAGTTAATACTCTTGATGATCTTTGTGTTTTATCGGAGAAATTACAGGAGAGATTAATGGTAGGTTTATACTTGGAGTTTACCGATAAATTGCATTAAATTCGTTTTTCTTATGAAAATGATTACTTTTATAGAAAACTGCAGAAGAATCAAGTATCGATCCAGAAATTCATAAAGATGAAAGTGGCTTCAAAATATTTCCACACTGGATTTGCCAACCTTGTATAAGACCTCTCATATAAGAAAATGGTAACTCATATATATATATATATAAAATAGTTTCAAATAACGTTTCGGTATTGTTATTTAGAATAGACAAAAATAGCTCAAATAATAATTTTACATGATGAATCTACGTAGCCTCTTTATAAACCATTAATAAATTAATAAGGTTCAAATATATGCTGATATGATATAATGATGATATGTAAAAACAAAATTTCAAAATCAAATAAAAGACAAAACCTATTAGGTAATTTTCGCCTTTTGACCACGTCGGATATATTCACGGGAACGTAAATCGGCTTGCCTAGTGGGCTCCGGGACACGATATCGACAACATTTGAGCACAACTTGTATCGAAGTTTCAAGACTTATTCTATGACCAATGGAAACAAAAATGGGGTTTGTAGTGCTATCCAAACTTCGAACGGCCTAGATCATGAAAATTTAGCTAGAACCTAAATTTTAAATTATACATTCTTTTGATACATACTGCGCCCCAAATCATTCCGGATTGTCCTTGAAGAAGATAAGTATCACCACCTTTTTTTAATTTTTCCCTTGCTGCTTTCTTTACATGTGCCATAGTTAAATTTTCACCATCATCAATTTGTAAAAAATTTTTCCCAACACCAATTGTAGGAACATTCGCAAGCACACCTAAATGGCTTGCAAAACCAAATCTTCTTGGATGTAATATTCCATTACCATCAACGATTATAACTTGAGGAAATATATCAGGGTTTCTTTGCTTTAAAATTTGTAGTAAGTCAAGTAAAGGTGTAACTTCACGAAAGGCCAAGAATCCGGTCATGTAAGGAATCTTTAACTTTACGGACGAGAAATTTTCATAAATCACCTATAAGAGAATGATTGAGGTCGCAATTTCTTGATATTTATTTAAGATAACATAATTTGATTCATACCTCTAAGCTGGGATACTTCAAAACAACCAAAGTTGCAATGGCATCCTCTTCATGATTCTCAATAAAACTAAGATCAACCCCTCCAATATAATTCAATCCCCTGAATTCTACAATGTTCTCGCCATTAACTATCTTTGTAAAGTTTAAAGCATCAGTTTCTATCAATTTTAATTTTAATTCGGATTGCACTCTATTCAAAAATAAAATAAAAAAAAAACCTTTTGAATTTCTTTAATGCAAAGTTTAGAGATTTAATTTTTTATTTTTTTTAAATTACCTTGCCCATTCTTCCCTTTGCGCTATCGAGGGGTTATTGTTATACTTCTCCATTCATGATAAATTTTTAGAGGATCAATTTGGTTTTTATAGGATTTTTCCCGACTCAGGGTCAGTCAATTAGATAAACAAACAAATGTCACTCGTTTTATCTGCATGACATTCATTTGACGTCTTTGGAATTATCGCAAAAACTCTCAAGAACACGTTAAAGAATGGATCCTTCAGACGAAAATAAAGTCACAACCTTGGAAGAGCTGAAACTACTTAAAAATAAGTTACAAATTCGTAGAGACCGCTTTGGAAGGCGTGACAAAGATACTATTAATGAAAGCGAAAGTTCTTTCTTTCGTAATGCTACTTTAAGCGCGGGCTTTAAAAATGAACACTTTTCTCAGGTAGGACCGTCTTCGACGTCAAGTACACGAACCTCTTCCTCTGAATCAAGTTCAAAAGAACCATCGAATATAGAGTATGAAAAACTCGTACGTGATTATTTTACAAATAATTTACATAGTAAATGCACTTTCCCAATAGAAACTTATGAACTTTTGAAAAGGTTAGTAGTCTAGTTCATTATTTTGTATAAGCTCACGTTTGTTATATTGGGGTTTCTAACTTACATTATCAATATAAGGCTTGCCACTTGGCAAAGCGTTCGGGCCATTCCTTTTACAAAAACATCACTATATAACCTCGAGAAAGCGTTAAGGACATTGTCAAATATATGGGGACCTAATGTCATGTTAATTAAAGAAAAACAAATTGGCAAAAGTAAGAAACTAGTGATAGAAAAAGTTGATATTGAGAAATTAGGCGTAATAAATGTTTTTGAAAGGTTCGATTATATGATCTTAATAAAATTATTCATTTCAAACCATAAGTTAATCTTTAAATTTTGTGGGTATAATAATATTAGCTCTCTAGAATCGGATGATCCTTCAATGCTTGATAAATCATTACAACTAACAACTTCGGTGAATGGTAATAAAAAACGAAAAATTGAAGACCTTACTGATGATACCGGTAATTTTCGGGTTTATTCGTAGTTCAAAAATTTTTTCAAAATGTAATCATCGTTAATAATGAATCATATTATCATTTGTTAGCTTTAAAGGAAATTAATGAACTACTCGATAAACCTTCATTTAAAGAAGTTGAAGAGAACAAATCACTTTACGATTTATGCATAATGCTGGATAAAAAGTCATCTAAAGATAAATTGATAATTGAAATGGTAGTAACAGTTGCAAATGTAAACATGTTGCTCTTTTTTTAATAATGCAATATAGACTAACGCGTTTTTTAATTAGTTCCGTTCAACTAATAATTCATTCCGAGAATTTTGTGTATATGGCACGAAAGTTGATTGTAGAAAACAACGGAGAACAAATCGAGCATGTCACAGGGTTAGTAAATTTCATTAACATCATTGAAGTTGCATGATCACCTTTGATTGACATGACGTATAAATAGCTCCATTTCCGGCCAATGCTTCGTTCTCATACAGAATTGGACCTTGGTGATTGTTCCTATTTGAATACCTGTCATCGTATGGATACTTGCAAATACGTTCATTATGAACTTGATGATGATGAGGAACGTTGGACGTACGAAAAGCGGAGGCAAATCCCACCTGCCGTGGCAAGTATCACAAAAATTTTGTTTAAAAGTTTAAGCTTGACGCGTAAATATTTGTAAATTAATTAACAAGTGTAAATTATTCTTGTTTAAAGGTTTTTACACCACCTAAAAAAGTCGTGAGTAAATTGTTTTATTTCATTTAAGTACGCTTGCGTTGATTTCGAAAAGGTATTTAACTTTGGTAATTATTAGCTACCACCTCAATGGATAAATTGTGATGTGCGAAAATTCGAATTCTCAATTCTTGGTAAATTTACCGTGATTATGGCAGATCCACCATGGGATATTCACATGACGGTAAGCTGGAAGATTGAATAATTCTAGTGTGATAAGGTAAAATAACGTAATATTTATGTAGCTCCCATATGGAACCATGACTGATGATGAAATGAAAGCTATGGCAATTTCTGATTTGCAAGATGATGGGTTGATATTCTTATGGGTTACGGGAAGAGCAATGGAACTTGGAAGAGAATGCTTGGCTATCTGGGGGTAAAAGATTTGTACATTTTCGTAATTTTGTTTTATTAGGGTTCTCATGATAAGTTCATTTAGATATGATCGTGCTGATGAACTTGTTTGGATCAAGACTAATCAATTGCAGAGACTCATTCGAACGGGACGAACAGGACATTGGTTGAATCATAGCAAAGAACATTGTCTCGTCGGAATCAAAGGCAATCCTGAAGGTTTAAATTGGGGCCTTGATTGTGATGTGTTGGTTGGAGAAGTAAGATTTGCTAAAACAATTCATCAATTCCTAATTTCTTATTCGCGAAAAAAAAAAAAAAAAATCTGATTTTTTTTTTTTGTTAAAAAATTAACAGGTTCGAGAGACAAGTCGCAAACCAGATGAAGTCTATGGCTTGATCGATCGTTTGGCACCTGGAAAACGTAAATTAGAAATCTTTGGGCGTCAACATAATACTCGCCCCGGATGGATGACGCTTGGTAATCAATTGGATGATGTCCGTTTATATGAGAGTGATGTCTTTGAAAGATTTAATGAACGATATCCGGAAAAACCGTGTCGTCTAACTCAATTACCCGCGGATTACTAACTTTGCATTTGATTTGATTTTCATTTTTTTTCGGTTTTAAGTTTCCATTTGACATAATAATAAATTATGATTATAAAAATTGGGCAGGAATTCTTTTAACGTGCGATAGCTTATCGGAAAAAGTAAAACAGAAGTAATATAAATCAATCACTTATGTTAAGGTCAAGAACAATCTTCTGTGTTGTTTCAAAAAAAAAAAATTGTAATCCCTTTGGTCGGAGTTACATTTTCAGTTAGGCAACGACAACACACCTCATGTGACATCGCGCAGTTTAACGGACTTCTTATGGAGACAACATAGCTAAGATACAATGATGCAAACGATGCGCGAGCCAATCTGTGGATCGATGTAGTTCTTTTATTTCTTCGGGAGGTCAAAACAGTAAAGGATGGGAATTGAAAGGAACCGTATGTCGGATAATAATCGAGGTTGGAAAACAGACTGTCATTGCTATTTCTTTAAATAATCGTTTCCAAAGGATCATGAAGAGCTAGCCTGTTTCAAAGACTAAACAGCATGTACAATATATGAAATAAAATTTGAAAAGGAAAGTTGGTTGATTTATGATTTATTTTAAGCCAATTTGGTTTGTCAAGTTATCAAATCTTTTATTAAAGATTAAATTATAAAACTTCATTCTTTGGATTTAACCAACAAAAAAGAAATCCTTCTTTTTCTAATGCACGTTTTAATTTTTCGGCATTTACAAACATATTTGAATCATCATCGTCATCGTCATCATTCCAAAGTCCTAAAATTGCACCACCCGATCCAGTGAATTTTGCGGCAAAATTATATTCCCTAGCCAATTCAATCATACGTAAATTCATTTGACCTAAAACTTGATCACCAAAAATTTCGCGTCTCAAATCGAAATTTTTATTCATATACTTAGCGAGTTCATTCCGTTTTGAACGGTTATTTTGAATTAAAATTTGACGTGATTGTTCGGCGAATGATGCGAATCGTTTCATCGCATCAATTACTTTTCGATCACCTGCCTCATACCTTTTTCGTACATCATTATGAATTTTATCAGATTCACTAGGATTTGATTCAAAAGCAATCCAAAATCCTTTCGGTAATAAATTAACATCTAACCTTTCATACATTCCAACACCATGTTTCATCATATGATCTTCATCAAAGTCCATAAATATCAACCCTCCATAAACTTGAATGACACGATCTTGTAACCCAGCAGAGATATTTAATTCATCCCTTTCAACGGAAAGAATTAAATTTGCTTGTATAGGTAATGGAATGATTTTATTAGAAACGTCAAAAAAAAGCATTAACGCTTTCCAAAATGCCGATATAATAGCGGAGGAACCCGCCAAACCGACTTGTCTTGGAATATTAGTAATAAAATGAACGAAAAATCCTTGTTGGTTAAGTAAGATATCATTTTTCCAACAATATTCTGAAAATACTTTACAAGTAGCTTGTAATAAACGATTACTTTCATCGTACCCTTTATTTTTAGATATTTCAATTAAAGTATCTATGGAATCAAATGATAAATTACAATCTTTGTTGGAGGAAGGGGAACGGAAATTAATTTTCTTGTATTCTACTGCTTTATTATCATAGGAATTTGGGGTTAAAGTTAATTCAACAAAAAAATTTGAAATCAAAAGGGAGATGCATTTTCCATTGTACCCATCGGATGGGTTTCCCATAAGACCAACTCTAGCATAAGAACGAGTTGTTAATATATTTTCACGATGTTCAAGTGGTGAGGTCAAATCCATTATTTTTTTTTTTTATTTATTTTAATTATTTCCGACATGATTATAAATCCTTTTTTTTTTTGTTATGGTCCAATCATCTAATAAAACAAAAGGAACGTGATAATTTTTCCCATTTTTGATCGGAATTTAAATTATATACTTGAATCGACCTAAAAAAAGTTATGGTTATAGATTAGATACAAGAAATTTTGCATGAAATCAGTTGACAGCAAAGTGATACGATCATCATGCTCGAATATATTCGGTAAGTATATTGTTCAAGTCTATTGTCATCGAGATACTTATAAATATGGCGCATTCATTTGGGAATTTTTCTTTTTCAAAACAAAAAAAAACAAAAAAAAAAAAAAATAAATAAAAATAAAAAAAAAAAATAATTAATTAATTAATTAATCATCATAATGACGATTTCTCAACAGCTTCCAATGGAAATTGTAATTGCGATATTATCATTTGTTCCTGCTAAAGCTCTTTATAGATATCGTTGTTTATCAAAAGAATTACAATTTGAAATACACAAGATATTAGTTGAAAGGATTAAGGATAATTTCAAATCGGGAAAGAATTATTTACTGGTAATTTTTTTTTAATGAGATTTGTTCAAGAATTTTGAATTTTTTTTTTATCATCAATGAGAAATTAATGATGATTCTTATAAATTCTTCTCATGAATCATAAGGCTACCATTGAACCTTTAGATACACATAGTTCAGGACCAACTCACATATTTGATTTAATCTTGTTAGAAATTAATTTAAACACATTAGAGATTAGGTTCAAGATCAATACAAAATTGAATGATAATACATCAAGTCCAAAGATAATAGGTAGAAAATTAGAAGGTACAGGGATCTGGGAAACGACGAGACAAAATGTTGATATAAGTTTAAAATCTTCATGGACACCTTTTAATGTTGATCATTACTCTGCTGAATTAAATAAATTTGCTTCTTTACACGTTTTTTCTCCTATCGATATAAGTCATAAGGCTACTTTTGTTGCTAAAGGTATCGTTACTTTTAATATGGATACCAAACCTGAAACTTTGGTTTGGTGGAAAAAACCTATTGATATTCATAATCAAGCAATTCTTGTTGTTAGAAATACGATCGGTGAATTTGATGTATTTGATTCTATAATTGTTATGGCTTTGGTTGAAGAGGTGGTTATAAAAGCGGGTATTTTATTAACTGCCATGGAAGAAAATTGGAAGAATGCTGTTACAAGTGTTGTCATTGAAGATTTTTATGAATAAAAAAGTCTAAAAAAAAATATTTGTTTTTTTTTTAATAGTTACAAGTATACATACAATTTTTTTTGGGATTACATTTGTTTAAATAAATTACAGTTAGAAAATATTATACATGTCTTGTCAACTGATATATATATATATATGTATGATGGATTGAAATTATAAAAAATTATTTTCAAAAAAAATATATAAATAAATAAATAAATAAAAACTATCTAAATTAAATTACTTTGCTATTAAAAAAATTTAATCACCACTCCTAAAACACCTGCTTCTTAAAAGTATTTTTGGGTGATTAAATCTATCTTATAGTTCGTCCGTCACACATACTATAATGACTAAAGAAAATTTATTTATAAAGGAAAAAAGACGCATCATCAAATGATATCCCGTTTTAAAAAAAAAAAAAGAAATATAATAAGAAAAATAACAATAATAAAAATTTATACAGTAAATTCAAACGAATAAATGCCCGAATACCCACAATTCTACAAAGATAGAGCATATATACTGCATAATAAAATAAAGAAAAATTACATACCAACTACTTGTCTAAAAAGTAAGCATTTCAGAAATTACATTACATAGAACGAAAGAAAACTATATACTTTTTTTTTTTTTGCAAATAATATGTACTAAATAATAAATTCTTGTTTTTCGTCCTTAATTTTAAAATCATTACCAAATTAAAATTTAAGGATTAAAGGATCCGAATTAAAAATTAACTCGTCATCAGAATACCCTGATCCCGCAATATATGAATAAATTGACAAAACTTCTATATATATATATAAAATATAAAATAATAAGAATTAAAAAAGAATTTGGGTGTGTAGTCTCTCATTCATTATTGTTGAGCTTGGACTGTGACTTCAACTGAAGACTGTGTGAGCGATTCGGCAACGATTTGTGGCGATGATTGCGCCTGCGCATCACTACCGATAGATGGGGACAGTTGTTGCTGTTGTGATGATTGTTCTTGCGATTGTTGCTGTTGCTGCTGAGTATTTGGTTGTTGCTGTAATAATTGTTGATGCTGTTGTAAGAATGCGAGCATTGGTGCACTTTGCATATTAGAATTACCTGGTGTAGGTGGTGCTGCATTCATCATTGGTGGTGGCATAGCACTAGAAGCTGCGAGCATATAAGGATACGCTGCTGGGCTGAACATCGCGGCGGGATGTCCATACATTCCAGCTGCTACTGCCGCTAATGCCGATGGATGGATGAAAGGTGGGAAAGGACTCATGTGCGGATAAGGTGAAGTAGGTGGAAATGGTGAATGAGGATGAGGGGACATTGGCATATTATTCATAAACATTGGTGTTGGTGGATATGCAGACGAAGGCGTGGATGATACAGATGTGGAAGTTTGTGCAGCTGATGATGATGATCCTTCGCTTGAAGAAGGATTGATTGAAGATTGAGATCCAAGTTGTTCATGTGGTGAACTATTATTTTCAGGTGATGGAGTTCCTGAAGCAACTTGCTGTAATTGTTGATTTGCAAAAGCAGCTTGTGCTGCTGCATAATAAGCGGCAGCGGCGGCTAAATCAGGTGGCAAGGGACTAGGGAACACTCCTTGTGGAGGAATACCAACTTGGGAAGGTCCGGAATTCAAAGGTGTACTACCAAGAGTTGGATCTCCCACCATACCAAGTTCTTCAAGTAAGCGTTTATATCCTTGTACTTGTTGTACCTTCAATTTCCCCAAAACAAATTTCACTTTTTCGGCTAGCCGTGTCTTTTCAGAAGGATCTACATATGGACTGGCCAATACCTTTTGTACAACACCAACTCCGTGAACTTGATCGCTAAGTACATCTTCTAACACTTGGTCATTTGCGGAGAAAAACAATGACGTAATCGTAAGATCACGTGCATCAGCTTCTTGTCGTTGATTAATAATCTTGAGAACAGTCAACGATGCTAGCTTATGTGTACATAAATGTGCTAAATGAGGGGCAAGACGTGGAGCTAACACACGATAACGACCAGGGAATGAAGAAGTATCAAGCATCCATGTTAATAATAATGCGCCGTTCGGATTAGTAGATAGCGGTACAGCATTCATGACAATGGCAATTGCTACTTGTTTCTGTAAAAAACAAAAATTAAGAAAACAATATTAGTATCCTTCAAAATTAAATAAAATACTTCAATTATGACATCTTACCTGTTGCTTTTTGGTTACATGTTGACTTTCTAAACAGGCTCTCATTGCACGGGCACCAAAACGGCCTTGTGCTATTTCCCAACATCGATCGACCATTGCATCGAAAATGAATTGATTACGTTGAGCGGTAAGGCGTAAGCAACATTGTACTACATAATTTCCAAATTGATCCAAAAGGAGCGGAGGAGTGTATGACTTAACATTAGCAGTAATGAGTTGCATCTAAAGGAAAATGAATAATAAATGAATAATAAGTATTTTATGACTAAACTATAATAAAATATTTAGAAGTTTGCATACTTGAGCAGGAGTTTTAGCGCAATCAATGATCTTTTGTGCAGCCCAAGTACCGTTCTTGTGAATACCAATGGTAGCCAAGTGAGGAGCGATTTTTTCTAACATTTTAGTCTTTGTATTCTCAGTACATCGTTCAAATAATTTTTGAATAACAGTGTTTCCAATGTAATCTATATAATTAATAACAAATTAATATATACAAATTCTGTAAACGGGAAAAAAATATATAATATCTTGATTTAGTTATTACCGCTTGATAATTCAACACATTCATCTAGAACTTCAGCAGCAATAGCTTCAACTTCCTTAGCAGCACAATGTCCGCTGTCTAAACGTTTTCGAATTTCTCTTAACCTAGAAGCATCTGGTTTGCGGTTTGGATTAGGATCTCCAACAGGTGGGATAGAGGTGAAATATGTTGTAGGAGGACGATTTTCTAAAAAAAAAGGAGAGTGTAACTTAGTATTAAAGTATCATTAATATATTAAATTGAAATAACTGTTAACTAACCATTCACGTCGTCAATGTCGTCATCAACACCGCCGCTTAATTCACGCATCATCAATTGTTTCTCGGTAAGACCATTTGCGGTATTATTCGCTGTACCTGCAATCATCATCCTCATCATATTATTATGATAATTTTCAACAGGTCCGTTCCATTGACCCGAATTTTGGTTATTAGAAGAGGATGAGGAAGACGAAAGGTTTCTAATATGACGCATAGCCGGAGACCCTGGTTCGGGAGTCGATGTAGGTGATGGTTTTGGTTGTACCTTAGCAAAACCAATTCTAACAGGACCAACAGCACTTCCAAGAACCTCTTTACCATGCAAAGCTTTCTTAGCTTTGACAGCATCATCCAATTTCTCGAAATTCACAAAACCACAATTCTTATGCGTAAGGACCCTGGCCGATTCAATAGCACCAAATGGTGAAAAAATATTTTGTAAGGTCTGAGGTGTTGTGGAAGTGGGAATATTTCCAACCCAAAGGGCCCGTGTGGGTTGAAGTTGGGTTTGAGAAGAAGGTGATAGGTCATGATTGTTCAATGCGTCAGCCTTGCCATAACCGACACGAACAATACAATTTCCGACACGACCTCCCATTCTATTCATAATATCATCTTTAGCTCTGACAGCATCCTCAACACGAACAAAATTAACAAAACCACACTCTTTGTCA